CCCCAAAACCCCAAAACCCCAAAACCCCAAAACCCCAGAAATTTCCAAAAGATTGAAAACTGTTACACAAAATCCTCTTTATCTCTTTATATTAAGTACTGAATTGATCACTAGGCCAAGCTAGACACGAGGGTTAGCAAAGAGTCCAATTTGGAGTAAGACTGTGCTAGATTTTGTAGATTTATTCCTACTGCTTTAGCACTGGTTTTGAGATGAATAGTGAAGGCATAGTTACGCTGGGGCTCATGTATTGGTCCCAAGGGGTATTTCTAGCAATGCAATGGGATTTTAATGACTCAGGAAAAGATAATTAGTAGTGTGATGTTGGAGATGAGAGGGAACCCTTACCTTTAAGTTCTTAGATGAGTATGTAAATCTACGCTTTGTGCTAAAAGTTGTACTATATTGAGAAATTAGGAAGTTTAAAGATACCGAAGCGAGAAAATTTAAAAGAGCACGTCTCTTTAAGCTTTAGCAGGGTAAGAAATAAGATTATTTGCTTTAGATTAGGTATTGAGAGTGCCTGTTATAGCTCAAAAACTGCTAATTTCATGATAACAATGTAAAGACACAAAATGTTGCTCTCCTATCCTATTCCCCCTTATACTTTCTCAACTCCTTGCTAAACTCCCCAAACCTCACTGAATCCTTCACATACAACTGCTAAAGACAAGGAGCTTTTGCAGCACTCCAAAATCTGTTCAAAAACATATCGAAAGCAATCCCTGATTGCTTACCTTAAATAGTTCTTCTTTGGGCTTTTCTTAGCCTGAAGGTGTTTAAATCTCTGTGGAGAGTTTCCAATAGTTTTACTTGATTATAAAGATTGGTGAGAAGATTTTCAAGGTGATCCCAAAGTGTAATTAAAATACATGAATTATGAGGGAATGATGTTAATACTCTCTTCTTATTTACATTCTCACAGTGCTTTTTCTTAAGCCCTAATGATTATTACTTACCTTATTAATAAAAACTGGCTTCTCCTTCTCTGCTTCTGATAGCTCCTTTTGGAACCCTTCTGGGTAATTTCATATTCAATCTTAGGTGTTGGAGTTTCCAAGATATTAGGAGGAGTATCTCGAATTACTTTCTGTGAAAGTTTTCTTCCTATATTGTTAATTTCTTGCTCTATTTTCAGTAAATATCAGGTATTCTGATGCATAAAATTGTAATTCTAGCTATATCTATTGTACAAAATATGCTGCAATCCCTTTCAGTAGTAACTCAATAATAAATTTATCAAGAAGATTCTCAAAAATTTAAGGGTTGACCATGTCTAGAACTTAACTTTCTTGATTAATTTCTAAAATATATCCCTCTAAGAATCGAGAATCCTATACTATCTTATCAAGCAATGAATATTTACAGCATTTCATGGTAAACTTCAACAAGTTATTGATGTTCAAGCAGAGCTAGCGTCAAGATTAATAACAGCTTGCTCTTTGATAAGTAAATGGTTTAATAAAACAACCCCGACATACTGATTAACAACTCTGTTCAAAATCATAAAATGGCTGTAGTAATTGAAAGTTTACAAACATTTTAGTAAGTAAGCACTATTCTGTCAAGATGAAATACCTCATGAAGAGAAATAGTGCTCAATTTGTTTAATCATAGGTTGAAGCTGTTCCAGAACGAAGACTCTATCATCAGATATGCCTTACCTGGTTCCTTTTTAATAGAGCTGCTCCCTCTTTTAGCTAAACTCCATTCAAAATCATTCTTAAGAGGTGTTTCTTCTTTAAAACCTCAGCTTGGGCTTCTCCGATCTAAATTTAATTTTAGAAATTATCTAGTATTTTAACAAATTTAACTTGCAAGAGAAGAAGTTTCAGAGCTGATTTATTAGGAAACTATCTAGCACAATGCTTAATCAGAGAAGTGGCTCATACTAAGTTAGAAGTAGTACTAGTCTAAAAGCCTTTTACTTGCTACTTACTGTTGGATGCATCAAACAATATTTGCTTTTGATTAATTGGTCCAGTTCTTATCAAATTCTTAAAGCCTTTACTTTCTGTCATGCTATTCCTTGCTAGCTTATAAACTACAGAAATATCAGAAGATACTTACAACTATTCAACGACTTAGGACTCGAAGCAGATGTGGGAAGTTTATACGGAGTAGTCATGGCTGCTTTTGCCATATATGACCTTTTTGGACTATCTTCTTGCGTGACCCCCAAAACCTTATTCCTTCTACCCATTAATCTACTCAAATCCTACCTAAACCCTCCATTCCAATTCCTTGACTGTGAGGTATTCCCTTTCCAGAGGCTAGGTTTCTTCTTCTTGGCACAACTCAGCCTTTTCCCATTATTTTACACCTGTCTTCTGACTTGATCTCAAATCTTAAGAAACTTTGTTAAAATCTTACCATTAAGATATTTACGATATCTGCCTAGTTTCTTCCTATTTTCTTTCTTTTTCTTCATGGTTTCCTTGATAAGTTTTTTGCAGGTTTTGTCTATTTCAGGGATGGTTAGGGGTAGAGTGAAGGGTTTTGACAGTGAGGGGCTTGGGGCTGGTGGAGGGTTATGGATTGGGGCTGGGCTAGGGGGTTCAGGAGGAGGGGAATCGGGAGTGGGCAGGTTTTGGAAGGAGGTGTTTTGGGAAAGGGAAGATAGGGATTTCTCGATTTCAGCGTTTGAGGGGGCTTTGAGGGTGTAGGTTTGGTTCAAGTTGAGGTCTAAGGGGTTTTAGGTGAGAGAGTTTTTTTGAGATTTTTATGGAGAAGTGAGTTTTGAAGGGTGGAAATGGAGATACTGAGATTTGAAATGGGTAAGTCGGGGTTTTTGTTTAATAAAGTTAGTAGTTTTGCATCGTATTTCTAATTATCGTAAAATTGTTTAAAGTTATAAAAAATAAAAATTAAACAGATATTTTTTACTTTCATGCTCTGATCAATTCTTTCTTCTCTCAAACTTACCCTCTTCCTCACCAGTCGCTAAATCCATAATCCTATCACTTACGCCTCATCTGCTCATCTCTATCCTCCATAAACTCACTCAGCCTATCAAGGATCCAATCCGGCTGCTCTCCTCCATCCTGTCCCTCTTGACTACCATAAACCGGCTGGTAATTCTCAAACCCTGCTATATAGTCCCACTCAGCCTGGTCATTCACGTCCTTGCTTTCTAAGTACAATATGGTCAGAGTTAAGCAACAGATAGAGGAGATTTAGAAGAAAATGAGGACCTAGAAGTGAAAAATAATAGTTTAGAAGACGATAAGGAGATGTTTGGGACATTTAGTGGGAGGTAGAGGCATACCGAAGATTGTAGAAGTGCTCAAGGCTTTCTTTTTCATCATTTTGACTTATTTATTATTAAATTTCGCATTTTTTTATTTGGGATTTTAAAGTTGGGGTTTTGGGGTTTTGGGGTTTTGGGG